GTCATGGGTGGGGTGGGGGGCGCTCTGCCATGAGGAAGTTTGGCTTAAAGACACGTCCTAGGGGCGTTTCTGGTCCCCACCTGTCGTTTTGCTCCTCAGCATGGCTTCCTAAAAACGCTGAAAGATTTCTCAAACATGCATAAATGAATCAAAGCAAGGCTTTGGGCATGTTTTTATGAGAGTATAACATTATATAAAACTCAAAAAAGTTGATTTTACATGATATTGCCCCTTTAAAAGTACCATAAATGAGGTTTTAAAAAGTCATGGAAATCATAAATCCAATTTTAAAAAGTAGAAAAATGAAGTTAAATTCTGTCCTCAGTACCAGCAGGGTCGTGAGACTTATTTAATGTTACTTACAAGGTCTTACTAAAACAGTGACAACTCTGTCGTTTCTCACTATGAGATAGTTTAAAACTCTTTTGCAAAAGTGAGAGTACTTTAATTCAGCATGCAGCTGAAGCGAAAATGTCTCTGTTCTTACCGTGGAAACCATTTGGCGTGCTCTTGCCATGGGTCGTCTCCTGGCTCCCAGTTCCTCAGCCCRCCATCACAGTAGAAACATTTGACATTGTCACCATGACCTGTGATTTCAAAAGCAAACAATTTTTTTAATGAATACTTGAAGCTCTCCTGTCAAACTCAGAACTTTTCTTTTAGCTCCAGTGTCCTCATACTTCAACAACCAATCAAAGAGCTAACTGGGTTCAATTGTACAGCATATATTATACAAAAAAAAACTAGCCCTCATCTCATTGAATTTAAAATGAAGAATGTTTGTTTTAGTTTGTTTTCATTTATTTTTTATATTTCATAAAAAAGACATCCTCRGTGTGTGTTGCCTGAATCTGTGCTTCTCCAGCTCTGTCCAGTTTGTTCTGCTCACAACAACCTGACTCAGCAGGACAATTGTAGCCTGAACTCTGTCACACAGAGGAGGTCTCTCCAGCACTGACTGGGTTTGTGCTGAATATTTACTCAGACTTTTCTAACCAACACTCAGGTACTGCTCAGATTTTACTAAATAAAGACGCTGATCATCAGGTTATGAATGCTTTCGTGGTACCTGTGTAGAAAAATCCTGCTCTGGCGAGAACATCGGGCTGGACCGAGGCCTCAGTTGGCCAGTTATGGAAAGTGGTGAGCCGGGAAACTTCTGCCTCCATCTCTGGATAGACGGCTTGTCCAGCTGCTCCCTGCTCATCCATCGTCATCCTCTGGAGCTGACTCAAAAGCTGGCCATCCACAGAGTCTGAGGAGGCTATTTGGAGAGGAACGTTTCCCACAGCTCGCCCCAGTATGAAGCTGCAAGTAGGGAAATGCCGTTTATGCTCAGCATCTGGACTATCCCCCTGCACCCAGTATCTTAAAATCCCCCCACAGCAGAAACACTGGACTTCATCCCTGCRGCCTAAAAAGAAAAAGCCTGCCTTGGCCAAATCTTCAGAAGTCACAGGCGCATCTGCGGGCCAGTGCTGAAAAGTCCGAAGTCTCTCCCCTTCTTCTCGCATCTGAGGCTTCTCGAGGCGTTGCAGCAAAGCTCTCCTGTCATCCGTCATCCTGCAGCATGTGGGGTTTTCTCTCTGGCTTCGTCCTGTGCCTGTCATGCCTTTTGCGGTCCATAGTGGAGCGCACACTGAAGGTGAGCGCAGAACAACAGCTGAAATAACACGATCAGATGCAGGGGGTTTCTGCGCAGCAGCCTACAGGTGATCGCTTTCCAGAAAGTCCTCCAGCTGCCAGAACGTATGCTCATTGATTCTTGAATGAATGGCCGCCTGAACAGGGAGGCTGCTCAGCCTCCTGGGGGGAAAAAAAGGTAAATCAGTTCAGGAGTTTACTACCACCTAAAAATTCTGAAAGGGGCAAGACTGTAATTACAAATCTCGGCACGTAAAGACGGACAAGTAAAAACATTAAGACTCCAACTCTTTATTTATTAACGCTACACTAAAGCTTGAAACTACCAAATAGACAATTATGAATCTCTGTTATGATGCTTTAAAAATTTTAAATACAGATTTAATAATTCCCATGTTATAACAAGCATCGCTTTGTGTGGCTATAATAATATGAAGCAACATACTGACCAAGTTTGGAACTTTGCAATTTAAAATAACTATCCTTGAGATGCTGGCAAAGAGAAGCCAAGTCAAAACATAACTGACTAATGATGGGAAATCAAATCTGTTCTCATTCGTAGGTGAATCAAACATTTAACTACTGGATGTTAGTGTTTGTACCTTTGGTGCCCCCTGGTGGTGAAAGGGTGTAATTTCTACTGCGTGTTAAAAATGCCAAAAAGAGTTGCACGTATCGGGTAAGAGAACTGTCAGAATCATTGTATGTGTAAGAGTCTAAATTTGTACTTGTAAGTCTATAAACGTACATAAATTTGTTACAACTTTGCCACATTACAAATATGAATCAAATTTACAAGTACAATTCTTATGTGATTATACAAGTGTTTTTAAGTTACAAATACAAGTTAAAAAGTTACAACTTTGCCACATTACAAATATGAATCAA